TAACTTCTTCTAGGGATTCTACATAATCTTTCTACTGATTAACAGAATTACAAAAAAAGTTCCAATAAAAGTACTCAGGACAAACTTAAAAACAGATGTAAAGATACTTCAAAATGAACCACTATGTACTTCAGCAATAGTTCCCCGACACAGGTAAGATTCCCCAACCCTTTAGCATTATATTACTATAAATATGCCTTTATAGTATTACTATATTTATTCTTTCTATATTTATGCTATATATTGCTATGATACTTTAACGCAAATTCTTATCCAACTGATAACAAGATTAACCCAAAATATTTTCAAAAATGTACCAAAAAAGTCACCATAGTTTAAATGTTTTTAATACTTCTCAGTAACTCCACTATAATTAAAATGTAAGAATCTATTATGTTACCAAAAGACTAATGGTCAACATTAATTTAAAGAGCAAAGTGGTCAAGATCATGCTGTATTTCAAAAACTCTGATTAAGCAACCACTTTGTTTATAATCTTTCAAAGACATTTTAAAGATATTACCACAAAAATAATCTACCATATTACTATTTTTCTGGTCCCAAACCCCAAGCATTGTATATCAAATGGCAATCATACAAACAAAAATTCCTTTAAGGAATCTAATATAAATGAATCTTACAAAAACAGAGACTAAGAGAAATCAACAGTTTGGATAAAGTATTGTCACACCTGGAAAAGGAACATACAAGTTTAGGGGCAAGTAAGAGACACTTATTAAATGTTTAAAACTTTCCAAAGCTTTTTTTTTTTTTTTAAAGATTTTATTTATTTATCTGACAGAGAGAGAGAAAGAGAGATCACAAGCAGGCAGGCAGGCAGAGGGAGAAGCAGGCTCCCCGCCCAGCATGGAGCCCGATGCGATGCGGGGCTCCATCTCAGGACGCCAGGATCATGACCTGAGCCAAAGGCAGTCGCTCAACCGACTGCGCCACCCAGGCGTCCCTAAAACTTTCCAAAGCTTTTAAGTCAAGAGTTATCTTTTCTTACACCTACAAAATTTGAATTTTAAAACTTGAAAGAAGATCCAATAAAACATATAGGAATAAAATCGTTTGAAAACAAGTAGTAAGAGCTAAGTTTCTGTCAGAAATAAAGTTCTACAAGGTGCAGACCAAATTTGTTGGCGGGGTGGAGAACTGGCAGGACAAAAATAGCAGCTAAAAACAGAACCCTGGGAGTTATTCAATTCCATTACATGCCCTCAGGTAAGTAGCCTGAACCAACCCCAACAAAGAAAAGTGAACTCTTGTTTTTTTAAGACTTTCAGAGAGTAAAAATTCTGAAACCAACACAGCTCAACATTACACACACACACACACACACACACACACACACACACACGTCTGTTGTTCCCCAGGACTGTTCAAAAGATGGATGAAACTAAATAATGAAACTAAATAATTCAATACTTCCGATAGCAGGACCCCAGCTCATTCATTCTATTCAGAATCCAATTCGAACACAAGTTGTGAGGTTATATAATGTCAAGCTTTACATTACACATTTCGCTGGTATGTTCAGGCTCACAAGAACTGCATGAGGTTGCAAGCACATACTCTAGAATGTTTTAATGTTAAGGCTAATGAGTCTTGACCTAAATAGGTAGGACCTCACAAGCACGGAGTCTGAATAAAGACTTTTTTTCTTCAGCTCAATGAACTACTTAGTAATTTATCAGATTATCCAGTGTTGTATAAAGCCCTAATTCTTCCCCAAAACATAATGAAGCTTCGCAAATTTCTCATTTATAACATGTTACTGTATTCAAACATCAAGAAAGTAATGCACACTTTCACAAAAGATATTTGAAAACATCGACTTCTTTACGTTAAACACAATAGCGCATAACTGCAGGGCTCAATATTACAATCTGAAATCCAGTATTAAGCACCATCCGCTGTGAATCTACTAAATACAAGCATTCTGAGACATGAAATCATCAACTTGCATTTTACACATTATCCACATAAAACCTCAGATTCCATTTATTTCTTCTTTATCATAAACCAAAAGCAACAGATTTAGCCAAACTTTTCCAAATGTGTTATCTTTGCAAACAATTTTACCAACCCCTAGTTAGACTGGCAATAATCACTTCAAAATACAATGATGCTCCCTTATATTTAAATATTTTATCTAATCTTTTGGGAGGACAACTTTGACAGCAGTCAACTGTTTTTAATATTTTAAATACTCAGAAAAAAAATCTTCAAGGCTTTAATCATTGAGGCTTGAATCATTTCAGAGCTAGTCACTACTCATTTTTCCAGTGATAATTTTAATGAAACCAATGAATACCTACATCAACAAAGTTTAATTCAAGTTTCCTGTATCAGTCAAAAACACTAGGCTTACTGGAAAGGACTATTTCTTTAGGTTTCTGGTCATTATTTGTGACTGAAACTCCTTACACTTAGTTACCTTGAAACAAAAACAGAAGTTAATTACAGATAAGAGGAATTAGGGACTCTTCTAAACCAAACTACAGACAAAAATTGAGCACAACTAAATAAAAAAATCAACTTAAGAATAAAATGCTAGGCTTTAGTCATTTCAAACTTCCTTCTCAATTCTAACAAATAAAGCTAGGTGTCAAACGCAAAGCTACTGATTTCAGCTTGAAAAGAAAATGTCTAACGGATGCAACACCTATCGCGCACACTCCCAAGTTTCACGGTCCCAATTAAGAAACCGTACAAATATCATTTCAGCCGTATTTTGGTCAGGAGAGACAAACTGATGCAGACAGATCGAGACTCCACAGCCTTTGTTCAATAGCTTACGGATGGGCAACTAAATGTGCTACAGGTTGATAAGCATTTACCAGGCTTATGAATGCTGCTTCCAAGCTTAAGAAAGGTACAAGAATTCTATATGCAAATCATCTTGGACAATTTTTATTAAACACCATCGAGCTACACACTCCGAAGGAGAGGCCTATTCATCGCTACTATTTATTTCCATGTTTACCTCTCCTCCCTCCCCTCAAACCCCCCCCTTCACTTTCTCCTCCCACCCTGTCCCGCCATCTTGGGCCGATAGGAGCAGCCATTACTTAACTAAATGACAGTGCCAACAACTTTCCACACAAATAAACAGAGACTACACCCCGAATCCCCCCTAGCCTCCCCGGTCGGACACACAGGAAACGAGACTCCAAGAAGAAAACACATTCACAAATAACTGCAAGATTTCTGTGGCAGAAAGACCCAAAAAGTAAACAAGTCACCTAACTTCAGGTAAAACACATACCAGTCGAGATGCATGTCAACAGCCCAATGCAAACTCTTCACCGCCCTAAACTATATGCAACTTCCCCCTTCTGGGAGCAGGGACGCAGGAAAGCCCAAAACGTCTGGTTAACAGTAGACATTACGAACAGCCTGCCTGAAGCAAAAGAATAAAAACCACGGGAAACAAGTCAGTCAGAAATTTGGGGAAATCTGCACACATTTACGATCCCTTGACACTGAACAGGCACCTCGGAGATCATCGGTCTACCTCCAAAAAGCCGTAAAATGAGAGGCGATTTTGTCGACCCAGCTGAGCTCGGCCCCAAAGCGCTGCTGCCTCTGTTCCTTCAGCTACAAGAGGAGAGAGCGATTTCGCAAGGGTACAAGCGAGGTATCCGAGGGTGGGGGGAGAGCAAAGGCAGGAAATAGTTTTCCGGAAGCCCCTCGGCCATCATCCGTGGCCACAATGAACGCCGGCCGGGCCGCGGGGCCCGGGGCGGGCCGGCCGCCGGCCGGGGAGTCCGTGTCCGCGCTCCGGCCCGCGGGCTGCCTTACCTTGCCCAGTAGGGCCTTCGTCCTGGCGCCATCTTCATGAAACCTCACGAACCCGAAAAGGCGGCTGTGGGGAGAGACACACGCGGCTCGTTAGAGCTCCGGGAACGCCACCGATCCACCCCTGCCCGAGCCCGAGGCCCCAGCGGCGACTACGGCACGGAGAGCGCCAAGCCGAGGTGTCCGCCCCGCCGCCGCCAGAGGCAAGCCGCGCTCGGGCCTCCCCGGAGAGCGGCGCCAGCCCGTCCGGAGCCGACCGGGCGGGTGACGGCGGCCCGTACCTGTCCAGTCCGCCGAGCGCCTCCCTCTCCTCGGCTGTCAGGCTGGGGGACGCCTCCTCGCTCTCGCCGCTCGCTTTTCCCGCCGCCATTTTCTTTTCCTCATCACCGAAAGCGGCGGCGGCAGCGGCGGCGGTAGCGAGCGACACTCCGCAGGATTTCATGGAAACGCAGCGAATTCACAACTCCAACGCCGACACCCCCCCGCGGGCCGGGGCCCGCAACGACGCCCCCAATCTCCGCTCGGGACCGGCACACCAACTTTGTCGCCGCCTCCTTCTCCGCCGCGGGCGGCAGCGACGAAAAATCCCAACACGGCGGCGGCGAAGGCGGCGGCGGCAGGGGCTGCGGAGCCCCCGGGTCGGCAGCGGCGGCGGCTCGGCTGTAGGGTCACATCGCGGGGGCGGGCGGGGGGCAGCCACAGGCGGGGACGGCGGGAACGGCCGGAGCGCGCGGGGCTGGGGGGCAAGGGGGGGATTCGTTGGAGACAAACTTCCCCGGCACCAGCACAAAGTTGTTGTAATTGTGTCACACAGCGAACCCCACGCCGCCGCCGTGACCCCCCCTCCGCGCCCGGCCAGCGCCGCCAATCGGCGCCGCCCGCTCGCCTCACGTGACCTTTGTTGACTCACGTCAGCCGTGGCTCCACTCAACTTGCTAGCTGCCGAGCCCCGCCCACCGAGGCCGCCACCGACGGGGAGCGGGACGCAGGCCAATTCTGGCCGGTGGTTGGCTGCTGGGCCCGTCTGTCGGGAGGGGGAAGGGTTGTCACCGAGAGGCAGCAGGCTGTTAGGTTGTGCTAGTTAAATACACTGGGGCAGAGAATGGAGGGTCCGGGCCGTGTCACCTCGGGAGCCGCGGCGGGATTGGCGGGGGGGGGGGGGGGAGCGGGGGGGAGCGGGGGGGAAGGGCGAGGTCCGGCACCGCCCGCGGCGGGCGTGAGCAGTGAGTAAGGACGCCATGGACGGCCTTTGCCTGCCCGAGAGCTCGGTGGTGGGCCTAGACCACGGCCCCCGCAGTCCCGCGCTCCAGGGGTCCCGGGCCTCACAGGGCCTGATAAAGGTCGCTTCGCCGGGAGGCGGCGCATGGCCCCTGACCTCCGCCCTCCGAAGAAGGAGCACACTTTTGGCACCGCTGGAAATAATGGCCTCCGCGAGGAGCGAGCTTGGGAGCGGCTGCTGGCCCCAGCCGGGCGGCTCGGGCGCCGCCCTAAGCCAGGCCTGCGCTCCCTGCCCCGATCCCCTCACTCCCGCGGAAAGTGAAGGGGGAAAGTCCTCCTGATCCCCGGCCGGAAGGAATGAAGAGTCGCCCATGCGGTCTGGCTTGCCAATCTCGGCTCCCCACCGCCAAAGGTCTGTTGGCGGCACTTCGGGGCCAAATTTTCGTGCTACCTGCGTTTTATCGGTAGTTCGTTATGATATTGTAAGAAAATAATGACAGTTGTTAAGCAGATCTCCAGAATGTTGGTTTCGGTTTCTGTTGCTGGTCTCAGGTTCCTTCATGGAAGAGTTGGGGCTGCTTGTGGACAGGCCTAAAGGAAGACAGTGAAGATCCTTATCACAGCTTGCAGCCCAGAAGAGCTTTTTCTACCCCCCACAACATGCCTTAGACAACAGTAACACTTTCTTGTTCTAACCCTATCTTAGATGTAAATAAAAGTCACTAGTCTGGTTTTCAATCCGAAGTGTAATCGGGAGAAAAAGAAAACATGCCTTCAGTCCGTTACTCTTTTCAAAAAACAAATTTAGTAAGATATGTCTCATGTAATAGATCTGTTACAAGGCACACTTCCGGTCTTCAGAGATAGGAAAATATCAATTGATGGACATACGATGACAAGGTTTCCTTTATAAAAATGGACTCTTGTCTATTTTTTAATAACGCAACCAATAGACGAGATATATTTGACTTGGATTTCAAAATATAAGGAAGACAATTTAGTGCTGACTCAGTAATCCTAGCAGTATTCAGTAAGAAGCTATAGAAATCCCAGCTGATTTTGCACACAGACACGGTTTTAAATTGTTCCCCTGAGACCAGTAACTAGACTAACAAACTGTAGTTTCATATAGATTATATTTCATGTTTAATTACTTTCTCTGAAACACCTTTTCCATTCTTTATGGTATTCAATTTTATTTGAATGAGTATGGAGAGCTGAATGTTTTCTACAGCTAAATTAACACATGCATTGTTAACTTTGTCACACGACCTTCAAAGCCTGGGAGATTTTGACACCAAGATCTTCCCTCTCCACACACACACTTAGACTGGCGCAAGCAGATAAAATTCAGCCAGCATTTGGCCATCTTCCTGGAGTTGGCGGTTCTTGACTCGAGCCCATAAGAATTATAAAGCTACCCACCCCAAATCCCTCAAAACCTTTCCCACCACATAATCATCACTAGCTAATAGCAGAATTGCATTGAGTGGATGCAATGGGTGGTGGTGGAGTCAGGTAGACCTAGATTCAAATCCTTACTGCACAGGCTGTGTGACCTTGGGAAAATTACCCTCTAAGCTGGAACTACATGTCTAGTCCAGTTACAGATATCCATCCTCCATTATGAAGCATGAAACAACTTTTATACAGTAACATCAATCTTTATATCACTATATAATTTTTTAGATCTCAAAAGTTTATAATTTGTCAAGTAAATGTATATACAATAGGTATGAAGCCTCCAAGGTTTAGGTCCTCACTGGAGAGAGAAATGGTGAGATAAATGATTGTGTGATTATTTCTATGCAAAATGAATCTGGAAACCTGTACAGACAGCAGAGAGGTTGAGCCAGAGCATGAATTGTGAAATCATACAGCTCCAGGTTCGAATCCTAACTATACCATTTGATAGCTGGGTGACCTTACACAAGTTAGTCTAGTTTGAGCTTCAGTGCCCTTATCTGTGAAAAAGAAAATATATCCACTTTACAATGTTATTTTGACTATTAAATGCCATAAGGTAGGTAAAGTGCCAGATACATAATATACATTCAAAGACCTCAAAGAAAAAAAGGGAGGAAGGAAGGAAGGAAGGAAGGAAGGAAGGCAGGCAGGCAGGCAGACTGGAATTTCTAAAATCCTTTCTTGCTTTCACATTCTGGGTTCTAGATGTATTGATCACCACTCTACCAATCACTGCCTCCTTATCCCTCCCCAGCCTCTCTATAAACCCAACACATAGTTCTAATCCACTTTTTACTTAAGGCATATAATCTCAACATTGCTACATCTCCCCTTTATTCTAAAATTAAACCTCATATCACTTACTACTGATTCTTATTTCATAATTCTAACAACACACTAGGAGCAGGGGAGAGTAATTTGAGTGTACCAAGTTAATATGACTAATATATGCATAGATAAATCAACATTTTAAAATTATATAAATTTGTGTCATGCTGAGTCCGATTATGGACTAATTAGTGTATAATTTGTAGTTAATACTTATATAAGTGCCACCAATTAATATCAGAGAAGAAGCCCATTCAATTATAGGAAAACAAATTTAACTTTCGAACAACTAAATACTTAACCTGAAGCATTTAGGAATATGTAGTTCTTTCGTAATGTTAGTGTCATGTAACCCATACAGATAAAAAGTCACACAGTAGAGTCATGATTTATCTAGTGTTATAATTAGAACCATACTTTTTTTATATCAAAAAAAGTACCAAAAAAAAAAAAATGTACCAGCTCTTCCCATACTCACCAGTGTCCTAAAGATTACCCACCTGATGTCCAAACATGTTGATGACCAAAATAAATACAGAGTAAGGGTTGAGGGGAGATAGGGAGCCAAGTACAGACAGACTTTCAGTTATTACAAAAACTTCAGTGGTCAAAATAGTTTTGAGACTTCTAAATGAAGTCAAGACCACCCACACCCACCAGGAACCTAGATTCCTACCCTCACCAGGCTGTAAAGAGACACCTCAAATCACCACCACCACCTCACTGGGGAGGCTGGACTTCCACCCCAATCCAGCAGAAATGAGGGATCACTACCCCTCCCTGCTGAGTTGGTGTGAGAGGAGGCCTACTGCCCAGTGGTAACCAGGCCACCACTCCCATGGTGTCAGTGGAAGCAATGTGGGGAGCACTAATGAGGCACTCCCACACCTCCCAGCCAGGGTGATATCGATGGAGGCCTACTGGGGAGCCAGAACTCCCATCCATATCCAGCAGTAACAAGAAGACCCTCCCCCTCCACCAGTCAACCAAGGTTGAGTAGGGAACCTGGACTTCTTCCACCCCTACCTGAAAGTAGTAATAGGCAGTGTTTTCCCTCCCCCGACCAGAAGGATGCCAGAAGAGGCCTGCTAAAACAAGATTCCAATGAGATCCACAGTCTCATAATACCAAAAATGTCCAGGTTTCGATCAAAAATCCTTCATACCAAGAACCAGAATAATTGGAGCTTAATTAGAAAATACAACCAACAGATGTGAACACTGAGGTAAATCAGATGTTCAAATTATCTGACAAGGATTTTAAAGCAACCATCATGAAAATGTTTCAATGAGCAATTATGAACCCACTTAAATGAAAAACTAGAAAATCACAGCAGAGAAATAGGAAGTTTCAGCAAAGAAATAGAAGATACAAAGAAGAACCAAATGGAAATTTTAGAACTGAAAAATATAGTAGCCAAAATAAAAACCAAATATATGGGCTCAACATCAGAATGGAAGGGATAGAGAAAAGAATCAGTGAACGTCAAGACAGAACAACAGAAATTACCCAACTTGAACAACAGAGAGAAAATAGACTGAAAAAGATAATAATAAACAGAACCTCAAGGATCTGCGGGACTGTAGCAAAAGATCTAACACTTGTGTCCCAGAAGGAGAGGAGAATGGTCAGGGCCCAAAAAGTATGCAAAGAAATAATGGCTGAAAATTTCCCAAATTGACATGGTCCCTGTCCTGAGCTCTTACTTGGAGAGTTGTATAAATAAATTCTATACCATAATGCACAGTGCTGAGTGCTGTAAGCTTTGCCCAAATTTCTGTGGATGCTCATGGAAGAGGCATCTTTATCAGCTTAGAGGGACCAAATAAAGCTCCTAGCAAATAGATTATGGATTAGTAGGAACTAGGGGGTGGGTGTAGAGGTGTGTGTGTTCCAACCACAGGCAGCAATGTGTCTGCAAAAGCACAGAAGCCTAAGAATATGAGAGTTACAGTAACTTCAAGAAGTTGCGTATGGCTGTGACCAAAAAGGTAAGGAAAGAACTGGGAGTTAGAGTTGGAAAATTAGAAAAGCATACTCAAGAACCATACTGACGGGTTATAGTGATTTTAGGCACAGAAATAATAACTGTAGAGTTGCTATTGGTGTTAGTGCTGCTGCATTAAACAGATTTCCTTTCACCTGGGCTGAGCAATTGGCACCAACCTCAATGAGTATTGGCTAGCCAATTGGTCTAGCCCTTTTGCTAGACCAGGGGGCAGAAAACTACAACCTACAGGCCAAAACCAGTCTGCCACCTGTATTTGTACAGCCATTTTGTCATACATTAAAATTATATGAAATTCAAATTTGGCTGTCCATAAATAAAGTTTCATTAGAACATAGTCATGCTCACTCATTTATGTATTATCTATGGCTACATTCACAAGGCAACACACAGTTAGATGGTCACAACAGAGAATGTATGTGGTAGTCTCATCACTTTCCACTGCTGCTTAGTGCCCTACAAATCACAGTAATCCTGTTATAGCTTGGCAGGGTTTCAAGTGCCACACATATAACACCATTACATTTTTTTATTATCAGTACACGTCTATCATGTCTATCATGTCAAAACATGAAAAAAGAGGAAAATGGGCTTCAAATATCATGCTTTTAAGGCACAGTAGAATGTGGATGGTTTCGTTATAAATTTGATGGCAAAGCATTTATCATATAAGTCAACGTTATTAGGCTACACTCATCACAATTTTCCCAAGTGCTAGGAAAGCAACAGTGAGAACAATTAGAGGATTTAAAACAGAATATTTCATCACAGCAGAATTTCTTCACCAAAATAAAAAATGAAAAGGAGACTGCAACCGAAGCCATTTTCTGAGTGGCTCATTTCTTAGCCAGGCAAGGGAAGCTGTTTAATTAAATTGTGTCGGATTGCACCAGCCAAAGTAATATGCCCAGAGAAAATAAATTTAAGGCTATTAACCTTTCAGCTTGGAACAGTTGCTTAAAGAGTTGAGGACATTGGGAGCAACATCAATAGTCAACTAAAAAACAAGGCAATTACCTGAGTGGTTTTCCCTGGCTCTTCATGAGTTAACAGAGAATACAGATACTACTCAATTGTTATTTATTTGAAGAGTCAATGCCCTGTTTGAAGTGGCTTCAGTTTCCAAAGAAGCTGAAAAAGCAGTGATGCCCTACAACATGAAGTGGAACCTGCTAAGATGTGTTACAACTGGTGGTAGCAAGAATAAGCGTGACGCCGAAAAATGCTTATTGGAACAAATTACAAAGTTGGTGAAAATGTAAGACATTTAAACCCTATGGCTATTCATTGTATTACTCATCAGTAATTACTTTGTGGTAATATTGGAATTTAGCATGTGTTATTGAACCAGCGGTGTCCCCAGTAACTTCATTCACACTCATGGACTTAACCATCATCAGTTCTGTGAATTTTTATCAGAAGTAAAAACTGAATATCCTGTCTTGCTCTACCACAGAGCAGTTCAGTATCTTAGCAGCGGCAAAGTTCTACTGTGATTCTTCAGAGCTCAAGACCAAAATTGAGAATTTTTGAATGAGAAGAACAGCCCTCAACCCCTATTATCAACCTATGAATGGCTTTGGAAACTAGCTTTTGCTGGAGGCTTGTTAATAGGTCTAAATGAACTTTACCACTTCCAAGGTAAAACAACATTTACACATAAGCTTACACAACAGTAAAGTCATTTTGATGACAAATAACATTGCCCAAACTACAAGTACTGTCAAGCCACTTTCTATATTTCCATGCTATCAAAACTTAAAATAAGAGGCAAATTATCTATTCCTATACAAATTTACAACATGTATATTTTCCAAGTTCAAGCCTCAGTTCCAAGTGACCTCAATTTTTCAGACCTCAGTGCAAGTGTAAGGAAATTTCCGTATTTTGAAATTCATTTAACAGGGCAATTGAGTAGTTTCTACCTAAGCATCATTTGGAAGTGATTAACTGCAATGTAATGATATACTAAAAGGCAAATTTCAAGAGAAAAATCTAATAGAATTCTATAAATGCCTTCCATGCAATGAACATGCTCAATTAAAATCATATGCGCATGGATTGATGTCAGTGTTTGGCAGTGCCTATCTGTAGGGAAAGACATTTTCAAAAATGAAATACATAAAATCCTATTACAGATCAGCATTAACAGATGAACATTTGCAAACTAATTCGATGATAAGCAATACTAACTTTGAACCCTAATTAAGCAAAATGTATTCCAAAAACAAAGAATCCCATTTTTCTCATTAGTAGACCTGTATTACCAAAACTACTGAATTATTACTACTGGGTTTTTAATTTCATCAATACAATATTTGTGGAAATTTGATTTTTCTCTTGCTATGTAAATACCTACATAATATCTTTAATTTTGCCTCTTGACCTGCAAAATCTAAAATATTTACTGTCTGGCCCTATGTAGACAAGGTTTGCCAACCCCTGGTCTACCTAATTGATTCCATGGGGACTTCTAGACCAAAATGATATATTGTTCTTTGTTCCCAAATATATCCTGTCCTAACATCTCACAAAAATCCCCTCAAATACATTAAAAAAAAAAAAAAAGACAAGATTTCACAATATCAAAGACTAAAACTGACAGGTAATCTAAGTCTTGGATCTGGGTGAAATTGATGTTAATTATGAGGCAGATGGTCCTAAATGGCTGGATTAAGAAAATGGCAATCATGGTTTACCTGTGCTTCATTTCCTCAAAGACAGTGACTGAAAAAGGTAGGAAGCCACTTATTTAAGGCCCACACTCTATCCCCTGATGACCCACCACCATCTGTCTCCCAATTCACACACATGGTGCTTAAACCAACAAGAGATGGCAGTTCTCTCCCCTTGAAGGCTGCTCACCAGAATACTGATCCCTACCCCCACCTCCACACCATATCCTCTAGACTCCTCTATTTCCTATTTATCTAGGCAGATAGATAAAACAAGTGGGCAGGAAACAGGACAGAGATTGGGAGGAGACTTACATTTAAGGAAGTGCAGTCCCCATAACCATGGCCAGCTTCATGGGAGTGCAACCTCGGCAGGCACACAGGGCCCTGTGATAAGAAGGGCCTCGGACTTGGTTTAATGTTCTGCTGTTACCATCTTGAAATTCTCGGTTTTTTAACAAGAGGCCCTGCATTCTTTCTCATTTTGCATGTAACTTTCCTGCACGTTAAACAGCCAGACCTGGCCAAAACTTTCAGGAAAGGCCAGCTTCTTGAAAATCCCTGAGAGAAGCCTGTGCTAGGAACTGTATTGTGATTGGTATCACACTAGTAAATAAGCTTGCCCAGAAAAAAACAAATGTCAGTCGGTCTGATTTCTCACATCTAGAGTTTTAGAAAAATTGGTGACCCCAAAATATAATATATGGGTCGTCTTTCAGTAAAGAGGTCAGAAAAACACTCCCTGCTCTTTAAGGGATCATAAAAGGTGAAGTTAGACTATGTGGACATTAGTGTGCCCTCCAGCTAAAGACTGGAGATGGAGATTTCGCCACTATTTCCATAGACAGATGGTGGACCTGGAGGTAACCCGTTCAATCACCTGTGGACAGATACTGAGCCTACAGAAACCTTGTTTTATTGGAGAGTAAGGAGAATAATCAGCACAGAGCTATGAGAGGAGCAGAGCATCTAGAAAAATCAGAGGAAATGAGCACGCTTCTTCACCATGATCCAGAAGAAACCTGTTGATATTCTTAATGCTTCTGTAGAAAAAAAGAAACAGAAGGAATGAATAGGTGGGACTGAGATGAAAATCTAATAGAATGAGATGGAAAGAGAGACAGACAGGGTAAGAAAAATGAGCAAGTACTCTAAGAAAGCAAAAACAAAACTAAAGTACACACTGGAGACAGTAAAAAAGGAGAATTTATCTGGCAGAAAATTAAGTTTGGTGTCAAGAACAAAGCTGATGCTAAGAAACCGAATGGAGTGGAAACAGACAGACATGGAAACAATGAGAGAAGATGAGGGCTGTGAAGAAAATGAAGAACCAACATATGGATAATTGGTGTTCCTAAAACAGGAACAAAGGCAAGTGGAAGAGATATCTACAAAGAAAGTAAAACAGAAACATTCCTGTGTTGAAGAACAGTGTCTGTTAATTGAAAGAGCCCACTGTGTTCTAGCCAAAGTCAATAAAAGAGGATGCACAACTGGATACATTATGACAAAAGTGTTAACCTACAATATTGTCTATAATTGTTCAGGCAAGAAAATGAAGTCAGATTGCCCAGATAAAAGCAAACATCAATCTGTCTGATTTTTCATATCTAGAGTTTTAGAGAGAAAAATTGGTGACCCCAAAATGTAATATATAGCTGAGTCGTCTTTCAGTAGAGATGTCAGAGAAACACTCTGCTTTTTAAGGGATCACAAAATATATCACATTCTTGAAAACATTTGTTTGCAGTATTTTTCAACCAATCAAGAGATGAAGTAAAAAAAAAAAAAAAAAGGAGGGGGCTCAAGAATGGGGAGGTCATGCAGGGGAGCATTATCATGCCAAAATAGAAGTGCACTTAAATAATTGCACCATATCTAATTATAAAACTAAATCTGAATCACAATATTTTTTCTCAAATTAGGTACTGAATTTTAAAAATAGTAATATGAGTAGGGGCACCTGGGTGGGGCAGTCGGTTAAGCATCCAACTTCTGGTTTCAGCTCAGGTCATGATCTCGGGGTCATGAGATCAAGCCCCCTGTAGGCCTCTGTGCTCAGCGTGGAGTCTGCTGGAGATTCTCTCTTCCTCTCCCTCCACCCCTCCTGCTCGTTTTGTCTCTCTCTCTACAATAAATAATAAATAAATCTTTAAAAATTGTAATAAAAGTATATAAAGCTAAAACCCAAGTTAACATTTTCATGGGTTAGAATGGGGAATGAAGTAAAAATAAAGTGTGCTTAATCTTATATCTCAAAAGTGTTATTCAAGGGGTGCCTGGCTGGCTCACTTGGAGTAGCCTGTGACTCTTGATCTTGGGGCTGTGAGTTTGAGCCCCACATTGGGTATAGAGGTTACTAATAAAATAAAATAAAATAAAATAAAATAACTTTTTAAGAAAGTATTCAAAATATGCCATTTCATAAAAAAAAAAAGAAATGCCATTTCACTCTGGACTCATCAATTAGATAAAAATAAGTTAAAGAAAGCTTTTGGAAAAGATATGTGCCAGGTAATATATTTACCATATCAACTTGGGAAATAGAAAGGTATAGTAAAAAGTACAAGTTTCCCCTTCCTCCAGGTAGCCACTTTCAAATAATAGAATAAAATACTTTCAAAAACAATGGAAAAGATGGAAATGAAAATAAAGAAAATGGAGGAGAAATATTAATAAGTCACAGAACAAAATGGCATAAAACCAAAGATTTCAGAATTTAAAAATGTAAATCCCCTGTTAAAAGACTTGGCTGAGTAAAAGAAATTTTAGTATAATCTAGTTATAGGAGACATACCACTAAAAATGACATTATATGTTACAAAGTAAAAAATAAGAAAAGACATATTAGACAAATGCAGACCAAAAAGGGGGGGGGGGCGAAGGGGAAGGAGTTGGCAATATTTGAGCATCAAAGACAAAAAGCATTAACTAGGGGCGCCTGGGTGGCTCAGTCGTTAAGCATCTGCCTTCGGCTCGGGTCATGTCCCAGGGTCCTGGGATCAAGTCCCGCATCGGACTCCCTGCTCCACGGGAGGCCTGCTTCTCCCTCTCCCGCTCCCCCTGCTTGTGTTCCCTCTCTCGCTGTGTCTCTCTCTGTCAAATAAATAAATAAATCTTTAAAAAAAAAAAAGCATTAACTAGGCAAAGAGAGTTAATTTTATATTAGTTAAAGGGTACAAATAAAAATTCTCATCGAGTTGACATTCAATGCCAGACCATCAAATACCATCCAAATATACAGATATATCAAAATATACAAAACATACAGATCTTCCTTGACTTATGATGGGATTACTTCCCAATAAACCCATTGTAGGTTGAAAATACTGTAAAGCCAAAATTGGGCAAAATTATCTAACCGAAGCCTATTTTATAATAAAGTGTTGAATATATTATGTAATTTACTGAATACTGTACTGAAAGTGGAAAACAGAATGGTTGTGTGGGTGCAGAATGGCTGTAAGTATACCAGTTGTTCACCCTGGTGGCTGACTGGGAGCTGTAGCTCACTGCCACTACCCAGCATCATAAAAGAGCATTGTATCACATATCACTAGCCCAGGAAAAGACCAAAATTCAAACTTCAAAGCACAGTTTCTACTAAATGTGTATAGTTTTTGCACCATCATAAAGTCAAAAAATCATCTAAGTTGAACCATTGTAAGTTAGCGACTGTCTATATAAAGAAAAACTACTAGAAATTGTATTAGTCAGGGTTCTCCACAGAAACAAAACCGATAGCATATAATATATACATATGTATATGTATTAGAGAAAGATAGATTTATTTTAAGGGATTGGCTCATGTCATTGTGGGGGTTGGCAAATCTGAGATTTGTAGATCTGTAGAGGGGCCAACAGGCTAGAAACTCAGATAAAAGTTGGTGTTGCAACCTTGATCAAAGACTTGAGGGCAGACCAGCAGCCTGAAAACTCAGGCAGAGTTTCTATGTGGTGGTCTTGAGGTGAAATTGCTTCTTCTTTGGGAAACTTCAGTCTTGGCCTTCAGCTGATTGGATGAGGCCCACCCACATAATGGAGAATAATCTGCTTCAGTTAGAGTCAACTGACTATAAATTTTAATCTCATCCACAATACCTTCACAGCAACATCTAGACTAGTGTTTGACCAAACAAATGTGCACCATAACCATCAGAGAAGTATAGGGAGAAATTGACATAAAGACAACAGCAATACATGACTAACATATCTCTTAGTCATTGGATATATCAAGCAGACCAAAAAATAAATACAAATATAAGGAATATGAATACTATTAAGAATATATATAATAGAGTATGGATTATATATAAACTATATATGAATATTATATATATTTTATATTATAAATTATAGGAATAGATGAGAATGGTGGTAGCAATCCGAAAAAAAATGTAATGTTGGGGGGTGCCTGGGTGGCTCAGCTGGTTAAGCGTCTGCCTTTGGCTCAGGTCATGATCCCAGGGTCCTGCGATGGAGTCCCGCGTCGGGTTCCCTGCTCAGTGGGAAGCCTGCTTGTCCTTCTCCCTCTGCTTGCCACTCTCCCTGCTTGTGCTCTCTCTCTCTGTCAAATAAATAAACAAAATCTTAAAAAAAAAAAAGTTGGATCTGTACCTCACACTTTGTACTAGGATATATTCCAGATGGATCAAATATTTAAATGTTTAAATTGAAACCATAAGAGTACTAGAAGACCCATGGGAGACATTTTTAGTATACTCTCAGAGTGTGGAAAGCCTTTCTGAGGATGACACAGAACCCAAATCCATTTTTAAAAAAACCTAATAAATTTGACTAAATAGAAATAATCTCTCTGTCTGGCAAATCCCTTCTAAGCAAAGTCAAAAGACAAATGAAAAATTGGGGGAAATATTTGAAATTCTTATCACTGACAAATGCTTCATTTCTCTAATAAAGTTCTTAAAAATCCATAAGAAAAAAAGACTAGTAATATAATAAAAAAATTGATATGAGCAGCCATTTCATAGAAAGAAAAATACAAATGGCTCTTAAAAGAATGAAAAGATGCTAGAACTTAGTCATAAGAGACAAGCAAATTAGAAGTAATCTGAGATACCATTTTCACTGGTCAGAAAGGCAAAGATACAAAAGAACAGAGCTTCTAAAACCCTTGCAATTTCCTAAGTAATTAGAGCACTAGGAACATCTCTTGTTCTAACATTTGTTCTTTGACCCAACCTTGACACGGGACTCCTCAAATCCTTGTAAATTCCTAAGTGATAAGAACACTAGAACCATCTTTTGTTCTAAAGATGACTCTAGGTGAGCTCCTAGATTGGGGCTGGTTACCAGAAAGACCAAGCCATGATTAGGAGCCTGGGATTTTCAGCCCCGCCTTCCCCCACTTCTCCAGAGAAGGGAGAGGACTGGAAACAGACTTAAAGACCAATCATGCCTACATGAGGAAGCCTCCATCAAAATCCCAGTAGCATGGGGTTCAAGGAGCTTGCAGGGGGGGTGGGTGCATCCACACACTGGAAGGGTGATGCACCCCAACTCCACAGGGAAACTCCTGTGCTCGAGACCCTCCCAGACCTTGCCCTATATATCTCTTCATCTGGCTGTTCATCTGTATCCTTTATCATGTCCTTTCATAAACAGATAAATATAAGTAAGTGCCTCCCTGAGTTCTGTGAGTCGCTCTGGCAAATTAATTGAACCTGAGGAAGGGGTCGTGGAAACCTCTGATGTAGCCACAACTTCTGGGGGTAACCTGGGGACCTAATACTTGCAGTCAGCATCTAAGGCAGGCAAGGGGGTGGTCTTGTGGGATTGAGCCGTTAACCTGGGGGATCTGACGTTATCTCCAGGTAGATGGTGTTGGAATTGAGTTCAATTGTAGGACGCCCACCTGGTGTCACAGAGAATTGCTTAGTGTGGGGAAAACTCTCTACACATTTAGTGACCAGAAGGGTCAGAAGTGAAGTATTCTGTGTGATGTTGTAGATCGTGTGAGTAGTAAGGGAGACACACAGGTGGAAAACTAGGTTTCTCCAAACACAAACCCACTATTTCCATTTGTAATAATACCCTATGAATATATTTGCACATAAATAAAATAATTTACATATACAAACTTAACTACAAGTTTATTTATCACAGTATTATTTATAATAAAATTCTGGCAACAACCTCAAATATGTATCAATAAGGGATGGCTTCAGTGAATTATGATACTTCCATATGGTGGAATACTATGCAGTTATAAAAAGAGAATGAGGATGTTCTCTTTTACTGATGTAGCATGATCTGTAATATACACTATTACACAAAAAGAGACAAAATAGAGAATGATGAGTAGAGTATGCTACTACTTGTTGAAAAATGAGAAAAAATACATATGTAATTCCTTACAAATGCATAAAGTAATATCTTAGAAGGATGCAAGAGAGGGGCACCTGGGGGACTCAGTCAGTTAAGCACCTAAGGTCAGCTGAGGTCTTAATCTCAAGGTCATGAGTTCAAGCCCTGCATTGGGCTCCATGCTGAGCGTGGAGCCTACATTAAAAAAAAAAAGGATACGGGAGAAACTAATATTATTGACTGCCTCTGGGGAGAGAAACTGGTTGGCTAGAGGACAGAGATGAGGAGACATTTCACTCTATGTGCCTTTCTGTACCATTTGAATGCAGAATCACAAGTACATTACCTACTCAGATATTAAAACAATTTAAGAAAGAAAATATGAGAAAACATTTAAACTTAGAATCGTACCAGTAGATAATGCATGTTTCACTTTTCATAAGACAGCTAATGAGAAAATCTCAATTCTGTAAAGCAAAAATTACACAGGCC